GGTGCTTTAGACCACTGAGCCTTCTCGCCAGCCCTGTTGTTGCTTGTTGAAGGACCTCAGTGGAGTACCATAAAAATTGGTAATTACAGAGATGAGGTCACGCTGATCAGACTTCCCAGTGTCTCCAGAAAGAGCTCCTAGCTTCCCAAGGGCACAGAGAGGACCGAGTTACTCCAGGCTCCGAGTGAGGGCTGGCTGTCCTTGCTGAGTGAGGAGAAGCTGCTCCTGGTTTGCATCAATGATACAGGGCCTGAGACATGCTGAGCATTTGTCCCCTGAAGTGGCTGTCACCAGAAAGGCTCATGTCTTAGACCCGAGCCCCAAGTTTTCAGGGCCTTGATCACCATGTCAGGGGTTATTGGCAGACTTTGGGGTGGGCAATGCGGGCGCTGGGCTTGGCTGCCGGGGCTTTGTTTGTTTAAGTCTTACTCCTTTCTTCAGTTGGGAGTGAGGTCCTAGCCACCCACATGCATAGCAGGAAGGCTTGGTGTGGGGTGTCTAGTACCATACCTGTCCTTCCAAGGAAGGGAGGTTGAATAGGATGGTGTGACCCCCAGGGCAGATGCTGTGGGTCTCAAGGTGCTCCTCTGAACCCAGCCTAGGGTATTTGCACACCTCTCTGGGCCTCAGAGTCCGAGGTAGTTCTCCCCATCTTGAGATTCTGCAGTGTTGTGTTCCTGACAATACAGGGTAGAAATTTCCTTCCAGAATCCAGAGTGGTCCAGGTCAGAATTTCAGCCCTTTCCTCCTGCACCCCCCAGGGACACCTCCTACCCCCGGAGCTCAGGCCCCCCAGTCCAGAGAGATGTGCCCCACACAGGCAGTAAGGTCACACACCGTGCCAGGGACACAGCAGACGCTGACTGGAGCACTGTTACTGGCAGGCGAGCTCAGGGTTTTCTGCACCAGGCTTGCTGCGGTGCGGTGCCTGGAGTTACTTCCTTCCAGAAATAGGCAGCAGTTTACTCATTCTCAGGGCTGACTGTGGCGTCAGGAGCAAGGTTTGGGGACGACTGTAGACGCCCGTGAATGTGGGTGACAGACCTGCCCGGATCCCACATCCAGCGGGCCGCTCCAGCCCGGTAAGTTATAGAGCTGGAGCGGTGTATCCACCAGAAAAGCCGTCCTGTTGTTCCCTGCGCTAGGCCTCTCGCTGGTTATGGTCATCCTGGAAAGTCTGTCCCCACTGCAAGTGTCTGCCAGACAGAACGGGAGCTGGTCCCTGGAGGTCACACCTGAAGCCGCAGCCCTCCTGGGTCTGCGTCTGTTTACCCGCGGGTGCTGTGAAGCGTGTTGTGCAGGGCATTCATTCCTGTGTTGGAGAGCCCGAGCTGTCAGCTTCTGGCTTTTTGACTTTGGAGACTTCGCTTTTTTTTTTTTTTTTTTCAGCATAGGGCATTGAACTTGAACCCAAGATCTTTATGCTGAGCCATATCTTCAACCCCTTGATTCTTTCTGAGATAGGGTCTCAGTAGGTTGCCCAGCCATGTTTGGATTTTTGTAGTCTTGCTTCAACCTCCCAGAGTTCTGGAATTACAGGTGTGCACCACCACGCCCAGCTCTAAACTAATTTTAAGGTGTCAAGTCCAGAAGTTGCCTTTCAGCTGCATGCATCGGCCCTGATCTCCGCATCTGACTGACTTCTGTTTCACAGACTCCAGGAGAAAGCTGCAGACACCATTGAGGCGCTACAGAAAGCGGGTATCAAAGTCTGGGTGCTCACTGGGGACAAGATGGAGACCGCAGCGGCCACCTGCTATGCCTGCAGGCTCTTCCGCAGGGGCACGCAGCTGCTGGAGCTGACCACCAAGAGGATTGAGGAGCAGAGTCTGCATGATGTGCTCTTCGAGCTCAGCAAGACTGTGCTGCGCTGCAGCGGGAGCCTGACCAGGGACCACTTCTCGGGGTGTGTGGCTCCCTGCTCCCCGAAATGGGCACAGGCCTCGTGGTCCTTCCTCACGAGGAGCCAGGCCTCGTCCTGGTCCTGCACTCCTGGGAGTGAGGCTCAGCCGCCGCCTCAAAGGGCAGGGCATCTTCTTGCATGTGTGTGCGTGAAGTTTCACGCTGCCAGGGTGCGGTGCAGACGACGGGAGCAGTCACATGCTTCTGGATAAGCCTGGGGGCTCTGCGACAGCACTGCCCATGGAGGCCCGGAGCACTGCCGGTGGGTGGAGAGGGTGCCGGTGCTGGCCTGGGCCAGCATTGCGGGCACTGTTTTCTCCTGAATGTGTCCTGTGGTTTACGCGACCTCGTTTTCCCAGTGCTGCCCTTGCTGGCATCAACTGTCTTGAGGTGAGGTTGCATTTGGAAGGCTTTAGATTGTCCTGAGTGTAGGTGAAGCAAATCTGCCCTGGAATCGTGCACACGTTTGCAAGCATTCCTGAATAAGATGGAGACGTTTCCCTTTGTCTGGTGCATGGAACGCCTTTCCAGGTTAGAGATGTCTCTTTGTAATTTTGAGGCCTGGCAAAGAGAAAATCTCAACCGTGTCCTTAGCAGCCCAGGTCGTCTGGGCAGGTACCACGAGTTAGCTGTAGGGGTGGCCAGAAAGCCCAGGGTGAAGGCTGACTGGCCTGCACGTCCATACTGCGCCTGTCACTGCAGAAGTGCCGGGGCCGTGCCGGCCTAGGGGCGGTGCACTTCTCCCACGTGTCGACTAAGACACAACTTTTAAATGTGTCAAAGGTGTGAAGTGTGTTGAGGAAGCCAAAAGGACCCTGTACTTAGTAACACGGTTACGGCATCTGCAGTCTCCCGAAGCATACATATGACCCTGATGCACATATTTGGTTGCCGAGTGACCTTTCTGGCCTGCGTTCTTTCAGGCTTTCTACAGACATGCATGACTATGGGCTCATCATCGATGGGGCAGCCCTGTCCTTGATCATGAAGCCCCGAGAAGACGGGAGCTCTGCCAACTACCGCGAGCTTTTCCTGGACATCTGCCGGAACTGCAGCGCTGTGCTGTGCTGCCGGATGGCACCCCTGCAGAAGGCCCAGGTCTCTTGGCATCTGGGGAGGGTGGCACGGGAGAGCTCTGTGAGGTGCTGCAGCCTGTGAGTTCTAGCAGCCCAGTGAGGCGAGATCTTCTGGAAATAGAGGGAAAGTGGCAGATGTAAAGCCTGGACCACTAGGGGAGGTCCAGACTCAGGCATGGCCTCCAGGCCCTGGCTCCCAGCTACAAAGTGATACTGTCACCATTGTACCAAGGGAGGGCTGGCCCTCGTGGAGCCCCTGCCATGTGCCACCTGCAGGTGCCTCACTTGGCCTCTGCGTGGTAGCACACAGGGTTTCCCTGCCTGCTCACTGGAGGCCCTCGTCCACAGCAGGCAGCTTGAGACAGCAGGTGGGATGTTTCTCTTCTCTGTAGGGCTCCAGCCTCATGTTCCACCTGCACTCCGTGCTCTTGTGGGAAACACCTGCAGTGGTTTTGTAAATACTCTCAAATGCAGTGTAGAAAATACGCATTAAGATGGGTACCTTGCCAGCATCCATAAGCCTGAAAGCCAGCCAGCTCCACAGTAGCACATTGTAGGTACAGTAGGCCGGTAGTCTTCAAACTGTTGGTGAAGAGAACTGGCCTAGCACGAGGCTGAAGCGCACCTCACAGGTGACCTCAGCATATGTGAGCGTGCACTGATAACACCTGGGGGTTGGGGGGCAGAGATTAGGGCCCTGGGAGGCTCATGGGCCACATGCTTCCTATTCAGACACGGTGGCTTCCTCCCTGCTCTGCCTGTTGTGTGTCCCAAAGGGTTTACTTTGCAAGCTCTCAGTTGTCGTTTGAAAAGTTTAATGAATTCATGTTTCTCAGCCTCTTGTTGAAGCAAGAAGACAACCCACACAGTTTCCTGCCTTCACAGCTGAATACCCTAAGTCCGTATATTTAGGTGTATGGGGAGAGAAAAACCTCTAAGAAAAAGGACTGAAAACTTGGCAGTTATTTGATTAAGTCACCAAGTTTTATTGTGCACACATGATAAAAATTTGTGAAGCACGTTAGCATCACTTGTTGCAGAACACAGCTGCATGATACAGCCTGGCATTTTAGCGCCTTCCTGAGGGTGTGGTGCCCTCTGTCCCCACACGCTATCCCTAGGCCTGCGCCTGCCAGCCGCCCCTGCTCAGCCAGTCCAGTCTGGTGACTGCTGCTTTATTCTGTGATGCTTCCAGTGTGGACAGGATTTCATCTTGTATAGAAAAGCAGATGAGCGGCACGAGCTGGCACTAAGCAGCCCGTGTCCTCTCTTTTGTCGGCTAACGTTAGGTCTCCACAGTTCTGCCTGGTAAATAACCGAGCAGAAGTAGAACAGAGAGGAGAAACTGTGTTTTTCTTTTCCAGATTGTTAAATTAATCAAACTTTCCAAAGAGCACCCAATCACACTGGCTATCGGCGACGGCGCCAATGACGTCAGCATGATTCTGGAGGCCCACGTGGGCATAGGTGAGCCACGGCCACTTCACAGGGGGCCTGGCTTGTACGTGACCTGAGGTGTCACCTCAGCTGGGCAAGGGCAGTATGTGGATGAGCAGTACCTGCAGGCCGCCACCTGAGTCTGGGTGCACCCTGGGCCGCTCCCTATCCACATCCCTTTTCCTTCTAGGTGTCATTGGGAAGGAGGGCCGGCAGGCCGCCAGGAACAGTGACTATGCAATCCCGAAATTCAAGCACTTGAAGAAGATGCTTCTTGTCCACGGGCATTTTTATTACATCAGGATATCTGAGCTTGTGCAATACTTCTTTTATAAGGTAGGAGGTGCCATTCTGTGCCTGTTCTAGTGGCGTGTGGTGCACTCAGTGGCGTGGTATGGTGCTGCGGGGTTCGCCTATCTAAGGGCAAAGTCACTGTCAGGAAGAAAGCATCATAGCCTGGTTCCCACAGAAGGACCCTCAGCAGCGTCCTAGCCTTCCAACCGGAAGTGGCTGTTGTGGGCATCCTGTGGCCTCCCTGTGGGAGGGAGAGCTCTGTCCTGGTGGTGCTCACCTCCGCCGCCTTCTTGTACTCTTGAGCTCACGCGCATCCCCCGAGCATGATCCGCAGCGGAGTGCAGGCGTTTCAGGAAGACTTTCCGAGCCTGTCCCCGGTTTCTAGAAAATGCGGAGCATGCAGAGGGCATCTCCACCTGGGGGAGTGTTGGTGAGGGTGGCACGAGGCTTGGGATGAGAGATGTGCTGACTCTGGTTGGGGCTTGTCTTTCAGAACGTCTGCTTCATTTTCCCCCAGTTTTTATACCAGTTCTTCTGTGGGTTTTCGCAACAGGTCAGTCCAATGTGTGAGTGCAATAGCCTGGGCCCTGCTGTACCCCAGGGGAGGCTGCACGGGGCGGCCCTCCATGGGCACACGGGGTGGGGAGGCGTTTGGGTGCTGGCACCCGCTGCCCTGGGCTCTGAGGCCTGTGAGTGACAGGGCCTGGGAGACCCGTGCAGGCTTTGGCTCCTCCACACCTGCTCCCCGGAGCCTGATGCACAGAAGTGCCAGGTCCGCCCTGGCGTGGGCACAGGTGTTCCAGCACCTGCTCCCAAGCAGACGAGAGACAGATGGGCACAGTGGGCAAGCTGCTTGCACATGCAGCAGCAGAGCCAGGCAGATGTTGGGGGTGGAGGCAGGTGTCTAGGATTGCAGGCCTCCCTGGCTTGAAGGAGTTGTGAGGGTTCCACTCGTGTTGGTCCCTGTGTAGCTGGAGAGAACTCCTGGTGCCATTTGAGATGCCTAGTGTGCGTGGACAGGTCATTGGTGGCCGTGGGCTGCAGTGCTGGCACTCATGTGGCTTTTCCTCTGCAGACTTTGTACGACACTGCGTACCTGACCCTCTACAACATCAGCTTCACCTCCCTCCCTATCCTGCTCTACAGCCTGATGGAGCAGCATGTGGGCGTGGATGTGCTCAAGAGGGACCCATCCCTGTACAGGTGTGTGGTGTCCCCGTGCAGGTTCATGCTACTGAAGCCTTGAGGGAGCTGCAAGGCAGAGCAGTGCTGGGCTCCAGGGAACCCACTAAAAGCTGGAATGCTCAGGCCCAGCCAGTTTGCTCGCATCCCCAGGGGTGGGCAGACAGGCGGTGGCCTGTGAGCACACTTCAAGCTCGATAGATGACGTAAGTGAGCTGCACTTGAAGTGTATGTTGCGCACCTGTGCAGCGCCCCCCCCCCCCAGGCTGTCCTGCTCCCCCAACCGCCATGCAACCATGAGCTCCTGGGTGGATCGTCAGCCACTGTGAGCAAGCACCCCACTGCCCAGTTGCAGTCCCAAAGCCCCACCTCCAAACACAAGGCTTTGGGACACTGTAGACCGAGCCCCCGACATGCCTTTTCTCCCGAGCGTCTCCCTGTGCTGCCCTCCCTCGCTCCCTCCCTCTTTTTCTCAAGGACAGCGCCCCTGTGCTGCTTGAGAGTGCCCTCCGGATCTCCACAGGTTGGATGTCACTGTGTGGAGGGCTTTTCGCTGTACAGACTTCCCGGTGTTGGACACACATGTAGTTGTGAGAAAACTGCAGGGAAGCTCCACATGCTGTGGCCATGCAGGCTGCCCGGTTGCTGTGTGCACACGTGTGTGTTCCACACACTGTCTGCAGGGGTGCGGGTCGGGAGCACTGCTATGCCCATACCCGTGCCTCCCTGCGGGCTCTGTCGCTGTGGAGTCACACAGCAGGCAGGACGTTCCTGCCACACACGCAGGATGCTGCCCCGAGGCACGTGTGCAGGCCCATCACTGTGGATCGTGGGACAGTAGTGGACAGTGGGCCTGGTACTGGTGTCACAGCAGGGCCCCCATCTTTGTCCTTGCACAGGGACATCGCCAAGAACGCACTGCTTCGCTGGCGGGTGTTCGTCTACTGGACGCTCCTGGGGCTGTTCGACGCCTTGGTCTTCTTCTTTGGTGCCTATTTCATGTTTGAAGACACAGCTGTGACCAGCACTGGGCAGGTGAGTGCAGGGCAGGTCTCGGGCCTGGCTGCCCAGGAGCCCCGTCCCACAGTCTGTGTGTGAGGCAGGAACACAGCTTGAGGGGGGCCTGTGGCCAGTAAGGAGGACACACCTATGTCTGCCGGGCTCAGCCCCAGGGAAGGTCCTCCGGGCTATTCTGTCACTGCCTCTGCTGAGCCGACTGCCTCGTGGTTCAGCCATCTCCCAGGGTGGTGCTTCCTGACCGGGGTCAGAGTCGGAGGCGCGTGGTACTACAGGACCTCCCGTGGGCGCCCAGGTAGCTCCCTTGGCTGCGGGATCTGAGCAGTTGTGGTGGGCATGCTGCCGCGGTTGTTTGCATCCTTTCTGGGGTTTGTTTTATTTGTATCTCGCTTTTTTCTTTTTGTCATTCGCCTCCCTTCCCACCCTCAGATAATGACCACCAACTCACACATGGTAAGACAACTGAGTGTGTCCTCCCTCTCTCTGTGTTTTTGGAGTGCATTAGAAATAAAATATTTCTCGAAAATATTTTCCCATATGACCTCTGTGTGCTTCATGGGTAGAAATGCTGTCAGCGGCTCCTGCCACATGGACAGTCGAGCTGCTTGTGTGATTCTCACGTCTCGTGGTGTCCCCTCCTTGGGCTCTGAGGGCCACAGGGAGCAGAGCCACTCCCATCGATTCCACTGAGATCATGGCAGTGTGAGCAGTGACACCAGGCCTCTGGGGACCCGGTGATGGCACCCAAGACCCCAGGAGCACGGGCATCGAGCATTGTCCCTGATGTGAACCGCTGCTCAGGGTGACCCTGTTCTGGGTCCCCTGTCCTCGGGGAGCCTGTGGCCAAACGTTTCATTCCTGTGTGACACCCCCCCCCCCACCTCTCTGCTCCTGTGTCGTCTTCCCCTGTTTGTCCCTCTGCCTGTCAGGTCGAGGACAGAAGTCTCACTGTGTGTCCTCATGGTGTAGCCTGTGTGCCTGTGCCTGCTTTCTCCTCATGAGAAGGTGCTGCTGTTCCCATTTTAACAGCTGGTCCCGAGAATGGACTCAGCATTTCTTGGTCCTAGGTTCCGCATTCTTGTGTAGAATCTGTTACTGGTCTCTGTTTCACTTGAGCAAGTCTTAGGGCTCAGGCCAGGAGGCCATGAAGTGGCCCTGGCCCTCACGTGTGTAACTTTCCCATGGTTCTGGTATTGGCCGGCCATAGATGGCCTCACGCATCGCGGACGCCCCCGTGCGTGGCGCACGTGCAGACCCGAGTGCGCAGAGCTCCAGCGCTCATTTCCAAGCGTCGCGCACGCCCCCGTGCGCAGTGGACATGCAAGCCCATGTATGCAGAGCTCTGGCTCTTGCCAGGTGCTCATTTCCAAGCTCCCCATCCTGACGCAGTCTGTGTGCAGTCCCCTCCCTGGGACAGTGCTGGTCAGGGAGGTCAAGCAAAGGAGCTGAGCAAGGTCAGACCTCCAGCCCTGGGCCAGATGTTCACGCTGCCACCTGCTGCTCGCCCCACACTCCCTGTGCCATCAGTGCTCCAAGCCACAGTGACAGTGACAGCTACTCCTGGAAGCACCCTGAAGACTGGTCACAGAGGCAGGCTGAGGACAGCCCCCTGCTCCAGAAGATGACAGCTTGCCTGAGGACATCCTGGCTGACCTGTCCACAGTGTCCCTTTGTCTCTTCAGCTCGAGGGTCCACACGTGGCCAGTGAGCATCTCCTGCTGGACGGCGGGATTGGTGTGTCGGGTTCCATATTCCCATCTTCTGCTCCTGACCTGGAGCCTTCCTACGGCGCTCCTCGAGCCCCTGCGGCTGCATCCAGTGGGAGGGTGCTTGCAGTGGCTGTGTCCCCTCTTGCTACCAGACGCCTGGGGCCAGTCCCTCAGACAGACCTGTGTTAGCCAGTGGGAGGGCAGAAGAGGCCAGCACAGAGCCTGCAGGGCTGGGCCATCTGACTCTGACTGCCGCTTGCATCCCTGCCCTTGGGCCAGGGTGAGTCTGTGTGGTGTGGGGCTGGCAGGCCTCTGCAGCCCGCGCTGACTCCAGCACAGGTCCATGTGGACCCGGAGGCCATCTCGTGTGTTTGGGCGGTGGGTGTCGGTGTGGCCTAGGGACTCAAGACAGGGCCTTGGGCGGCTCCACAGCAGTTCCACTCGGTCTGCGAAGCTGGGGAGCCTGCCACATGGCCTCCTGTCCCTGAAACTGCAGCTAGGCCACCTGGTGTTCTACTCTGTGCAGGGACTCAGGGACTCCTTACCACATGACCGTTGAGCCTGTGGCACCAGTGGGGGCAGGGAAGACCCCAAGACCTGCCCCTTGGTAGGAGTACCGAGGGATGTGTGCTGTGCCGGGGGCAGGAGGATCATGGGCAGCTTCTCAAGGAAAGGGTCAGGACAGGGCGTTTCTGCACAGACAGCAAACATCTAGTTCTCCTTCTGATGATGTAAATGAGAACCCCCAGCACTGTGCTGTCAGCGCTGAGCAGCAGGGCTTCCCGGGTTGGCATGTGGGGCTGGGGACAGCTACAGCAGGATTCAGGAAGCACTCTGTGAGGCCATGCAGTCAGCAGTGAGTGAGTGCAGAGATGTTACGTGGCCTCGACACGTCACGTTTACTGTTGTGTTTGCACACAGCATTGTCCGTGGCTCATGAGCAGAAAATGCTCAGCCAAAACAATTGGGGGGAGCTGAGGCCACTGGAGGGTGATACTGCCTCATGGCCTCCAGGCTCCGAGATCGCCTGCGGCTGCCAGCCAGTTAACTAGGTGAGGGTGTTGTCCCGTCCTGAGTCAGTCGGACCTGCAGTGAGGGGGGCTGTCACACCAGGTCAGTCCTTAGGAGCCAGCAACAGGGGTGTCCCTGGGGTGGAGAAAGATGGGTCCTGCAGCCTGAGGGGGAGGGGGCAGAAGCCGCAGGGACTCTCCCACCTCCTGCCCACAGTCCTGTAGTGATAATAAAGTGACTGCTGGCTGCGAATCAAGGGTCCTACCATAAGCAGGTGACAAGACTTGGGGGCTCAGCCGTGTTGGGCACCACACTGTCCCACGAGCACTCACTGGGCGCGGGAAGGGCCAGGCCTAGTCGTCGTCTCTCAGGGCGCCCACCTCTGGATACAGGAAGTGGTACTTCGTCTGCCTGTGGAAAGACAGTGGTGGCTCTTGTCCTGCCTGAGCGTGGTCCTGGACACCACATGCTTCCCAAGCAGCCTGTGTGTCTCCAGGTGCCTCTGTAGGTTACTGGCAGGCTGCATCTGGCTACACAGTTAGGAAACCGAGGCCCGCAGAGCTAGATGGAGTGCGTGTAGCAGGCACTGACCCTGTGGCGTTCGGAGGAGAGAGCACTTTGGACAAGGTCTTCTGAGCTTCTCACCTGCAGCACCGTGGACTTGGGCCCTTGGGCTCCTTCTCAGGCCATCCTGTTTAGCTACTGAGCTGTAACCTCGTACCTCAGAGTGACAGCCGAAAATGTCTCCAGGCACAGCCATGTCCTACAGACAGGCGCTCCACTGAGCCTAGTGCACAGAGCTGAATGCTGTGTTGCCCAACTTTCCAAGCAGAAGGAAGAAGCAGTTCTGACCTCAGGGGTGAAGCCAAGGAGCGAGGAAGCCGGCTTTGCCAGTGCGACCCCAAGAGGTTAGCGCCGACTGTCAAGATCGAATCTTAGGAGGACACCATCATCCTGCTGCGTACCACTGGACTCAGGGCCACGCCCTCGCCAGCGCAGCTGGGAGCTACAGTGACAGGCATATGTATGTGTATGAAAGTGGACCACAGGGAAAGCCAGCAGCACTCCAGCTTTGTAGTTCTCAGTCAGGTAAAGCGGGGTTTTACCTTGGAGAGCTGCTGGGAGCCGTTGCTTGGAGGCCCAGTCCAGACCTTGCAGACTGCCTAGACAGGCACAGCTCCTGAGGCCGCTTGAGTGAGGGCTTCTGGAAAGGTGTCCTCCACAGGCTTTGGCCCTGTCTGTGCTTCCCGCCATTCCAGGTCCTCTTGGTCCCTTTCTTCAAGATCTGATTGTTACATCTTTGGCTCTGACTGCCTGAGGCGTGGCCTTTGTTGTCTGTCACACACCTGTCCCCTGCATCTCCTCCCTCATGCTGTCCCCTTCCGTGTTCTGATGTCTGTCCAGCCATAGGCTACCGAGTGTGTCAGCGGGCAGCTGGGTCAGCAGGAAACACCTTGCCCGCGTGTGTGTTCGGCGCAGTTGTGCGGTTTCTTCTGTGTGCTCGGCTGAGGCGTGAGGACCCGCAGGTGCTGAGCATCTAGTCTGAGCCGGCCTGAGCTTCCTGGTTCGGGCTCCACGAGGAGCACAGCCCCAGTCCCAGCCTGTCCCAGCCTTCAGGCTGGTGGCATGCCCAGGGCGGGCAGTCTGCTTCAGGCTCGAGCTGGGTGTGGCAGAGCCATGCGCGGACAGGGGGTCACTCGCGCTCTCACCCGCAGATGTTTGGGAACTGGACCTTTGGGACGCTGGTGTTCACTGTGATGGTATTCACGGTCACACTGAAGGTGAGTGGCGGCTACAGTACACCCTGCTCTGTGGAGCACAGGGATCCAAGCTGTCTGGACCAACGTCCACGTGGCAGCCCTTAGGGCCTCCACCTGTCACTGACACAGAAGAGCAGGGCTCCAGCACACCTGAGCCATGCAGCCCTTGGGCTTCCAGGATTCCAGTATGAAGGGACAACCCCATTCTGCACAGGCGAGTTCTCAGTAGGACTCTTCCAGATAGCAAGCAGCCCCATCCACTGTGTAATCAGAGCAGTTCAGACAAATGAAAGTGCAGGAGACTGAAGGCAGAAAGCCAGGTGGGCCCGTGTAGGACAGCGTCATGGGAGTCCTCTAACCTGCCCGGCAGAATCTTGAGGGGCACGAGGCCAGCGCTTTCGGGAAAGGCACACCAGCCCTGAGAAGTGCTCCTCAGTGGCCTGGAACCTCTGGGTCCTGCCCCGTCCCTCCTCCCGGGGCTCAGGTGCCACATTCGTTCCCTGCTGGGATTCCTGGTTTTGGGTGGTTCTTTTGGAACAAGTTGTGCAGCCTACCCTGTTTGCTGGGTTCTGTTTCCCCCTGTCCTACTGAGGGGCCTGGCTGCCCACTCTCTCCCCACAGCTTGCGCTGGACACACACTACTGGACGTGGATAAACCACTTTGTCACCTGGGGGTCGCTGCTCTTCTACGTCATCTTCTCCCTGCTGTGGGGAGGCATCATTTGGTGAGGTTCTGGGCGTCGTGACGTGGTCCCCATCTTGTGTGCTAGGTCCAGGCGGGTTCCGCATGTGCCCCAGGTGCCACTCCTGGACGTCTCTGCTGTAGCACCACACCCAAGACGCGGGTGTACAGCAAAGCTCACTGACCGGCTCTGGCTCTGGAGGCCACCGGTCCATAGGCCACAGCAGTGCTGTGCTGTAGAGGGCCCAGCTGGCCGTGACGCGGCAGGGACACCACAGGCAGGACAGCGAGCCACCAGCTAGCTCCGTGCCCTCCTCTCTCTCAGGAGCTGCCCAGGCCAGGGTCAGCACAGCATGAGTCCCCAGTCCAGGGCCTTCATGCCTTGCATCCTAGACTTCTGCTTCATGCCCAGAGCTCCGTCATCATCAGTTTTGCCTTATTCTCTGTTCTCACTGGGACATAACACCAACACCCACAACTTAAGGAAGGGGAAGTCTGTTGTGGCTCACAGTTCAGGCCCTGGTGGGCCGCTCCAAGGCAGGAGGGCAGGGCAGAGGGGCCTGGTGGAGGAGAGCTGCTCCGGGCGTGGCCCACGGAAGCGGGGAGAAGGCAGGCGCAGGAGAGAGACAAGCTTCCTGGCCACGCCCCAGGGGCCAGCCACTCGCCCCACTCCGCCCTGTCCTACTAAGCCACCCCTCCTCGAGGTCTCGCCTCTTCGCGCTACACCCTGTCTTCCCGGCCCTGCCTCTCCCACCAGGCTGGGCTGTAGCAAGTCAGCCCGAGCCCAGGATCCAGTCACCCCTACAAAAGCCCAGCCCACAAGTGCAGGCTGCCCTGGGAACTTGCAGATCTAACCCAGAGCAGGTCCCCAGCACCAAGTCCCGTCCTGCTGCGCTCCCGCTCCTGCTTCCCTCGGGGCTGGCGTCACAGACTCCCTCCCCGCCCCACAAGTGCGCCCCCAGCATCCATCGCATCCGCACCCCGAGACAGAGTAGCTGGGCCTGGTGGCCGCCTGGTGATGGGCCGCGGCACATGCGGGCCCGGGGTCTGACGCTGGTTCCCCGCAGGCCGTTCCTCAGTTACCAGAGGATGTACTACGTGTTCATACACATGCTGTCCTGCGCGCCCGCCTGGCTCGGCATCAGCCTGCTGATCACCGTCAGCCTGCTCCCCGACATCCTCAAGAAGGTCCTGTGCAGGCAGCTGTGGCCCACGGCGACAGAGAGAACCCAGGTAAGGAGCAGCGGGTGGTGCTGGGGCCGCCGTGCGGTAGGGGTGGGGCTAGGGGCGGCAGGAGCGCGTTTGTGTGCACGTGGAAGAAGCCCAGGGCTTGCGGGAGTCACCGTGACATGCGACTTCACGGAATTAAGGCAAATGCTTGAAAGAGGGTGACATACAAGCTGACGTTTACAGTTCGATTGGCACTGTTAACACCTAAGTTAAGAAGGATAGGGGCCGGCGAGGTAGCTCCGCAGGCTCAGTGCCCACCTAGGCAAGCACAGAAACCGGAATTGATCCCCAACATCACGTACCATGCCAGCCCAGCACCTGGCATGCTGAGCCAGCCAGTGACCAGGCGTAGTGGCACATGTCTGTAATCCCAGCACTGGGGGGCTGAAAACAGGAGGATCAGCATGAGTCCGAGCTGCGTAGTGAGACCCTGTACCAAATATGTTTTAAAAAAAAGGATAGGAACAGAGTCCACAAACCATTCAAGTTAATCCTTACTCTTAGGGCTAAATTGGTTGTTTTTGAAGGGTGAGTTTGACGCAGAGCAGTAGTATGAGAGACACTGGTGTCCCGGGGCTCCCCCCGGGACAGGAGCAGGACTGGCGCCAAGGTGGAGGTGTGAGGTCTTGCAGGCCTGCCTTCCCTCGTCTCTAGGATTACCTTAAAGTATACGTCCATGAGCAGATTTCCCCGTGCATGGTGGCACATGCCCAATATCCCCACTTAGGATGAGGCAGGAGGATGCCAGTGCCTGGGCCCTGTCTCAGAAAGCAAAAACAAATAGCTCTCCAGCTTCCCTTCAGGGAGGTTCTAGTCTCAGCAAGGCAGGCCCTGGACAGAGACAGGAGAGAAGGGACCACAGCAGCTTCTGTGGTACAGGGGACATGGGGCAGGAAATTGCATCCCTGGGTGCCAGCAGGCGGCTTGGGCTGGATGTGGACAGTGCCTGGGGACCGGCCAGGCCTTCAGTCCTGCAGGAGCCTGTGTGATGTGCAGACCCGGGCTGCCAGCTCCTGACTACCTGACTTAAGCTCCTGTGGCAGTCAGGACTAGACCCTGACCTGGGGCGGGGTGGCGGCTATGCCATGCACAGTTCCACAGGGACCCAGCAGTCATGCGTTCATGACGCTCCTTGTGCCCAGGAGCACCGCAGAGGGAGGCAGCCATGTGGGCCAAGGTTCTGACAGTGGCCTCTCTCCAGAACCTCCCTTCAGCAGTAGTGTCTGGGGACCTCCCGCCCCCATCGGAGGTTGGCCCTGCTGCTGCTGGCAACTTCTGTGGCTGCAGGGAGGAGGCTTCTGTACTTCAGCCTGCTTCCGTAGTCAGGAGGCAGAAAGCAGAGAAGGGACTGAGGCGGGGGTAGAAGAGGGGCAGGCCGAAGCCAAGTGGGGAAGAGGGGTGGTGGTCGCAGCACTGTGCGGGTGGTGTCTGTCGCCTGCCCCGCGGCAGCCTGCGTGCATGTGTGCTAGGAAGTGCCCACATAACCAACTCACCTCTCTTGTCTCTCTTCCCTCCCTGTCGTCCTGTCTTCTGCCTGCTTTGCCTAAATAACCACTGCTTGTGCCCGTGCTCCTCGCGCGGCTCCGGACGCGGACTGGCAGGCTAGGAACCAGTGCCTTTCCGCCGAGCAGCCCACCGTGTTTATGCTTTCCCAGACCTCCAGCGGTCTGAGTTTCTGACCACAGGTGACCTTCTCTGCTTCTCAAGTGTATGGGAGGAAGGCACGGGTGCGTGCAGGATGGCGCCACTGTGGGCTTCCCGGTGCCCTCCACCACCAGCCACGTCGGAAACTCGGTGACAGCCCAGGGCTTCTTTAATGATAACCTGTCTTGCATATCATCTAAGTAACACAGTAGTGCATTTTGAAAGTCAGTCATTAAAAGTGACCCAAACTTCATAGTTGGGCACCAGTAGAGCTGGCTAGAATGAAGCTCACACTTCCAGCTCCGTCTGCACCCTGAGAGCAGGGGGAAGGAGGTTGCCGGGGCACAGGACACAGTGACAAGGTCAGGCTGCCGGCACAAGGCACAGTGACAAGACCAGGCCGCCCCAGCGCTGGTCATTTCCCAGCAGCTCAGGCTAGAGAGCAACACTGAAGCCCTTGGTGTGGCTTCCATGGACTGTCGAGTGTGTGTGGGAGCTGGGCTCCTCAGGCTCCAGGAGGGGCTGCTGCAAGCTGTCCCCTCAGCCCCTGGCGTGACCACAGGTGTCCACACCTGCCACAGAGCCCCTGCCACTGCATGAGCCTGGCACATACAAGTGAACACTCTGCTCAGCAAAACTTTGGAGGAATAAGTGTTCAGTGGCCCACAGCAGGGCAGATCTGACCTTGAAGAGTTGCAGGGTCCTTCCTACCTTTCCTGTCTCAAGGAGGACATCCCAGGCACCGGCATACATGTGTCATAGGCGTGGCTCATGTGTATGACACATGCATGGGCTCACAGTCCTGTCTTCTGCTGCATACTGACACACTGTCCCTGTCCCCGTCGGAGGGGGACAGCTCCACCTCTGGCTTGTAGCCCTGTGACCGGGGCACTCTCCTGATTCTGCCGGTCCTTAGCCCTCCTGCCACTGCTGGGAGCCCAGTGAGACTGGAGCTGTGTGCAGGCGCCCTCAAGGCGAATGTCTGGGCTGTGGTGCCCAGTCTGCCAGCGACAGGGTGGCCAGCAGCTGGCCCCCAGCCCTGCGAGGACGTGGGCATGTATGTGCAAGTGTGTGTGCATGTGACCGGCCGCAGGTGTGGTCAGGCTGACTGCTGCGGTCAGAGCCCGCAGGACCCTGCAGCTGAGGCGCAGACTGGCCGGCTGTCCCGCCTGCCCGCCCGGCCCTGTGCCCACACGTCCCGGTTTCTTCCTCGCCCTTGCAGAGGCACGTGCAGCACAAAACCCCGGCCGACGCCACGCTGAGCCGCGACGGGCCCCTGCTGAAGAACCTCTTGCCCCAGCCGCAGCGCCGCTAGCGCGCTAGGTAACGTGCGGCCGTCGCCCGTGGGCGTGGCTGGTGTGCTGTGACTCTTGCACTCTTTTTCCTCCAAAGTTTTGCTGTGCTGTGCCGGTTTTGGTAACAGAGGTTCACTGTGCAAAAGGCGCCCCTTGCCGCACACACGTGCTTGGCTTCCCAGGTAAGTGCGGCCAGGGAGCTGAAACGCTGGGGGTGTGCCTGCCACACAGGTGGCACCCCTTGCCCCTCACCTGAAGCCGTCAGCAGAACTCAGCTGAACCGGGGAGTGCTGTGTGCTCCCTGGACACAGCCCAGTCAGGGTCCGGCTGGACCTGTGCTCTGTGGCCGACACCTGCCACCTGGCGGTACCTGTGTGTGCCAACCAGGGCCACGCCCAGCCTGCCCTCCCTGTGCATCATGGGACTTGGGCTCCAGGGCAAGGACTGTGTGCCTAGATGTGGAAATGCCACCTCTGTGGCCAGCTTCAGGGTGACCCTGTCTCTTGATGACGTGGGGATGGCAACCCTGCAGGGGTAATGCACTGGTGTGCCCCGAGGAGGCCTCTGCCCTGACTGTGCCTCTCACTTCCCACAGAACACGCGGCGTGCAGACGGCAGTCCAGAGCTCAGCCCGCCTGCCTCTCTGCAGAGCCCAGGTGCTCTGGACCCCAGGCCTGCAGCCGCCCCGCGTGGCCCCCCATCCAGGAAGGGGCCACATGTGCTCTGGGGGAGCGAGGAGTATGCTGTGTCCCTGCCAGTCCAGGCCTCACCCGTCGCTGCCGCAGCTCCTGCATTCTGTCAGGACACAACCACATGATGGACAGATGGACAGATGGACGGAGGGTGCCCAGGCAGCCCTGGGGCATGTGGGCATGTGCCTGCCTCATCTGTGAGGATGGGTGCCACTGTGATCTTGCTTGCTGGCCCCTACTGGGTTCTGGGACAGGACCTTATGCCAGGCCCACCCAAGCGCCCACTTTCCTGACCTCCAGGTCTGCTGTTACTGCGCAGAAAAGCCTATCCCTGGCCACAGCCTGTGGCTGCCCAGTGGCCAACCCACCCGTTGCCCACCACGAGACCTGCCACGCCCTGTGCCCAGCACCCCTTCTGTGCCTCCCTCGTACAGAACTGTGCAGTCTGGGAAGTGAGCACCTCAGGCCTTCGGCCACATCCATCCCTGGCCTGTGGCTGCGCTCTGCCCATGTGTGATTCCCCCGTGGGGTGCCTCTCTTCTGCTGAGGAGAGGCTGCCATTGCATGCCAGAGCCTTGGAGGGTTCAGGTCCCCTCTCACGTCCCCCACTGCCCTGTGGAGGGGACTGTGTCCACAGTAGCCAGGCCACTGCAGGATCCTTGTGGTGTCTGGGACAGACGTCAGCTCACCTGCCTGGGATGGGAAGTGTTTGTTCTTCCAGTGATGGGCCAGGGCGAGGCACTAGAGCAGATCTTTGGCAGTAGTGAGGCTGGCTTTGTCCTCACTGTGAGATGATCCCTCCCCTGGGACTGTCTCAGGCTAATGTGGGCCCCAGGTCCACTGCAGTCTGCAGCTCAGCCTCATCTGCATAAACCCCCGCAGGCCTCATCTCCTGGGCCTCTCCCAGCTCAGGGTTTGTCCAGGTCTCCCAAGTGGACAGGCTGTCAGAGGCTGCTGTGCTGTGAGTTTCCAGGACTTTCACCCTGGGTCTCTCCTCCCGGAGGGATCTATGTGTTGTAGCCTTAATGGTCCCGGTCTAGGGAAGACGTTTCAGCTCAAGGTCCCACCCTCAGCCAGGAGCACAGGGCTCTGCTGAAGACCCTCCACCAGCAGCTGGAGAAGCCAGTTCTGAGCTGCTGTCGTCAGGCTGGGAAGCCAGGCCAGCCAGGCCAGGGTGTGGCGTGCTCCCAGGGTAGTGTTGGAGACTAGACTGCTGGGTGACGCAGGGCAGCCTCTGAGCCTGGCTATGTGGAGACAGGTCGTTGGCCCAGCCCAGGGCTGGAGGAGCAGCAGGTGGCAAGTGCAGGGCTTGTGGCCCAGGGGAATGTGAGCACAGAACCGGATGGGTCCCAGCTGGCTGGGAGGAGGCAGGAGGAGGATGCCTGTCTTTCAGGCTGCCTCCGTTCCCACTCGTTCCTCCGTGCCCCCCTGCCTAGCCGCCGGCCCCACAATGTGGACCCCACACATGTGGTGCCTGTTCCGGCCGGCCCACACTGACCTGCAGGTGACGGCGGGCACTCTCACAGCCCTTTTTAAGAACCCAAAGTGGGTACAAATGTAAGAGCTGGGGGGCGGGGACAGATTCTCCGTATGTTTAGTTAACAGATTATTTGTAATGTATTTTTTTAGAAATCAAAATTGCCTTTGCACTGAAGTATTTTCATAGCTGTTTATATCTCTTTTATCCATTTATTTGCTAACATATCATCTAATTTTTAAAGTATGTTTTTAAAGCTTTCATTTTTTAAGTTTATGAAATTTTGGTCACTTTGCATTTAAATTCCAGGCAGAAATTGGCTAACGGCTGGTGAATGTGAACTTCCGGGTTCCATTTCTTCTCCACGCCCCTCGTCCCTCTGTGTTCCTGTGGCGGTGACGTGTCGGAGGGCGCAGTGAAAGCACAATAATTTGCTCTGCTCCTCCACAGTGTACCTGCTTGTCGTTCTTGTTCTCATTTCCATCTTCAGCCTTACTGCCCCTCGAGCGCGTGCCCGGCCTGCGCAGGGACCGTCCCTCTCACCGCCGTGGCTCTAGTCTTGGTACGGAGGCACCAGTGCCCTCACGCTCCACAGCATCATTTCAGAAGCTGCCTGGGAATTCATTTATGTGTGTGCCTGATTCCTTAAATCAGATGAAGGGCACAAGATAAAAGTCAGCAGGAGAAGCAGGACCCCAGAGCGAGCACCTTTCTGATACGGGTTAATAATGAACTCCTCCGCCTCGGGGTGGTTACTGTTTGCTTGCCTTAAACTAACTTCAAAGCAAGTGACTGGGCCTGAAGCATCGTCCTAGGCTTGAAAGCCTCATTTGCTGCTGTACATGGTCGTAGCCGTCATCTCGTGGCTTCCAGCGCCGGTCGGGACACGCAGCTCCTGGTTCACAGCGTCTCATTTGGTGTGTGTCTGCTTCCTGTGCACTCAGAGCCAGTGTGCAAGTTTGCACTCGCATGTGCACGCCCATGCACAAGCACACGTGCTCTCCCACGTCCCCCACACCGGCCTCCTTCCTGAAGCCCCAGTGTGGAGCTCTGGCCACAGCGGGCCCTTCAGGCCTCGGGACACACACGCACCATAGCACCTGCGTCCTGTGAAGGAGGCGTGGCCACACATGCACAGGGCTGTGAGAGACACCACGGAAGCCTGACCACCCCGTCCAGGGAGCCCAGTGCCCCAGGCAGAGCCACCACCTCCCCAGGCTTCCATCAAACCATGTGGCCACCAGGAAGTGGGCAGGCTCCTGCCACCCAGCCCTGAGCACAGCCTGGACCAGGCGGGGCAGCGCAGGCAACAGATTCCGTCCGTCGGCCCGGGGTCAGCTGCGTGTCCTGTGCGGCTCCAGCCTGGGCCTTAGAACGCCAGGTTCGTGTAGCCACACTGGCGAGTGTCGAACTCACAGCCACTTCTGTTTCACCATAACATTATTTATCGACAACACAGTGTAACAATGAGTCCTTGCATTCTACATTTCCTTTGGAAGTTACTGTAATGTTAAAAACCAGAAAAAATACCAGTTGGCGAATGCAATCTTTTGATTTATTTATTTTTTTAGCTGGAGGGTAGTGAACATGAATGAGAATCGCTGATAGTGTGTCATGAACAAAGCTTTAATGAAGATGTGTTGGAAGTGTTAGGAAAGTATGATTCTATTTTGCAGAAGAAAATCTAAAGATCAATTTGTATGGCTTTATTTTTACCTTCTCAAGATATACAGAATTTTAATATGCAGATATTGCCTCTGACTTACAATCATAACGTGTCTGCATTACCATTTGAAATGTCCATGCACTATGTGATGCCATTGGAGAGCCTTTGAGGACGTGTTTCGCATGACTGGTACCTAGCTGTCACCGTCCTGAACACTGGAGTTTTATTTTTAAATTATTAAATAGAGTAGTTACATTTAGCATAAATCATTCTCTGACAGTAATGAGTCATTAACCTGCTTTAAGACATCAAATTGTGAACTAAAACAAATCAAACATTTCTGTAAAATTTATTTTATATGCTACTATTTTTAACTTTTATTTATGTAGATAAAGGACAACTTGGTAACCTTAGTGATACTGGCCTTTTCTGTAGGTTAAGCAGGACAGCAGGGTCTGCTTACAATAAAGACACAACCCAACTGCACGTCTTCGTATTTTTATTTATTTTTTTATTTTTGGTGGAACCGGGGATTGAACTCAGGCCCTTGCGCTTGCCAGGGAAGCGCTTATTCTACTGAGCCATCTCCCCGGCCCACGTCTTTGTATTTTTGTAAATGCATACAGTCACCTGAGTTTCACTCATGTTTTCTGCTAAGAGTAGAGAACTGTGTGTGGTCTGTGGTAGGGTGGCAGAGGATTTTGGGGGCTGAACCCCTGAGCTCACTGGCTGTGGGGACAGGACCCCAACCCCAGCCTCCTTTGGAAAGGCCTGGCTCCCAGGCAGGGTGGCGTGGCAGACGAGGACAGGTGGTGGGGGTGGAAGGCAGCACCGGCGATGAGAGCTTCGCAGCACTGAGCCCTTTTCACGCTGCAGGCCGCGGGGCTGAGGGCCGTGCTGACCAAGGGGTGCGCGGGCGAGGGCAGTGCCGAGCCCCACCTGGCGGCCGAGCCACACCTGGGCTGTGGCTCCAGGTCACAAGCAAGGGAGCCCAGCCCGAGGTGAATGTGCCCTCCCTCCCACCCAGCAGGCACCTCAGGCCAGCGCCAGAGCTGGCTCCCCCATGGACCCTGCTGCCAAGGCCAAGACTTCTGTAGCTCAAAACTGATGAAAGCCAGGCGAGAAGTACACACCTCTAAGCCCTGCATGCTGGGAGGCTGAGGCGGGAGGGTCGAGATTTCAGCCCAGCCTGGGTAATTCAGGGACTTGGAGAGATTCCATCTCAGAGTAAGAAAGTAGGGGGCTGGGACACAGCTCAGCCTGAGTAAGGCCTGAGTTCAACCTGGTGCTACAAAAAAAAAAAAAAAAGCTACAGGTGCTGCCTTTGGGGAGCCACTTACCACGCTTGGCTGACGGCAGAAGGTCAGCCAACACAGGCTGCCCAGGGCAGTGCCAGGTCTCAGGGTGCTGGCTGGGGTTGGAGACATGGGCCACCCAGGCGCCTGTCTGGGGGCTCACCTCTTCCACCAGCTCCAGACAGCCAGTCTTAGTTGCCCAGGATGAGCATAGAGCCACCCTGCACAGGCATCTGGGGGTACAGGGGTCTCATTCCTATAACTGGTTTGGGGCACTCAGAGGCCACCAAGCTTGTGGAGGCAGGGACAGGGCAGGCACCCCCATAAGAGGACCCCCAAGAACTCCCTGGGGTTGGCTCCCTGCGCCACCTCTGCCCTCCTGCAACTGCGAGGGCACCCGGGGCACTGTGATCTGCAGCACTGGGCTGCACCCAGGCACTACCCCGAGCCTCAGTGAATACTCCTGGCTGTTATGTGCCCGACACCTCCCTTCTGGGTGACCCCAGGTGCCATGTGCCTGTTGAGCTGCACCCTACACCCTGCTCAGGGCAGGCAGGCCACCAATGGCTGTGTCTGTGGTGTGGCAACAGCTTGGCAGGGAGCTGCGCACACTGCTGCCCAGCGCAGGCCCAGATCCCGCCAAGGCCTCTGCCCGACGCACTCCTCAGCTCCTGGATGCGCTCACGGGACACTGACGGGAAGGCAGGCCCATCTTCCTTAGGGCTGCTTGAAGGATGCTCCTTGTCTTAGCTACTTTCTTTGCTGAGATAAAATACCCGACACCTAAAGGAAGAAAGGCTTATTCTGGCTCCCAGTTTATAGAGGTTCAGTCCACAGTCAGTGGGCTCCAAGGCAGAGCAGCATGGCAGACGGGCCTTGCGGAGGACAGACAGCCTACGGCAGGCAGGCGTGCGGGGAGAGCACGCTGGCCCTTTTCCTGGCCCCCTTTTTTGTGCAGGCTGCCCACCTGGGGGCACTCAGACCCTAATCCGAGACAGAACTCTGCTGGTCCAATTAGTATTTAGTGTCACGGCCCTTGGCCCCAGCACCACACACTAGAGTCAGCCACCTCTGCAAAGCCCTCACCACACACACGAGGTTCGAGGTTATCGACCCAGCCGTGATACCACCCTCCTTCCACACCTGTCTCCTCCAAACTCTTCCTCTGAGTGGTGAGCAGCAAGAAGCGTGTCCTCTACAGGCCACCGTCCTCTGGGATGCAGGCCCCAGGTGACGTGACTCACAGCTGTACCCTAGCGCTTTGGGAGGCTGAGCCAGGTGGACCCCAAATTCAAGCCAGCCCAGATAACTTAGTGATTTAACAACTTTGTCTCAAAAATAAAAAACAAAAGGGCTGAGGATGTGCTGCAGCTCAGTGCAAAGGCTGAGACCTCCAGAATCAAACAACTGAGTGGTGGAAGGGATGAAGAGAGGTGTCGGGGCTGTGTCTGGAGTCCCCCAAAGCTCACGCACTCCCAGGTGGTAGGTGCTGGATCTAGAGGGTGTGGCGCTGGGTCAGCCCGCAGTGCAATGGGAGGTCGAGGGTGTGTGTGCTGTGGTGTCCTGCTGAGGACCCCTCAGCAGCCCTGAGCACAGCCCACCCCTTCCCCTCCGCGGCTCACGGGGCTGAGAAGCAAAGCAGTGTATTCCAGTCCACCTGCTGAATCTTTACTGAGAAACACGGATCCTGGGGACGCTGTTTACTAAGCATGTTTTATCCCTTAAAATCAATCACACAAAATCATCATTTGAGAAATTTCACTTGCTAACGCTCTTCTTCACTGGGGATTTACAATATTCAAGGAATGGAAAGGTTTCAAGGTAACTCGGGACAGTAGATGATTTTGACACCTACAGAGTTTGCTCAGACCTGCAGGATTCTTGAGTGCACATTTCCTAGGGGCACAAGGCCTGCACCCCTCACTGCTGTAGGCCCTCACATAGCCTTTGTGATGCTAATCTCTGCGCCTTCCTGGGGGGTCCTGAGGACAAAGGCCTGGGGTTTAGCAAGCCAACCCAGCAGGGCGCCCGGGATATGGAGGCTGCTGGCTTTGTCCTCGGCTGAACTGAGTGCCCCTGGAATCGCCTAACAGTGGACTCAGGCCTAATGCTTTCCCAGCTTGTAGAAGCCATGGAGTCTTAGGTCACTTTCATCGCGTGGTCAACTGTCCCAGAGCAGGACATTCTGAGCGTACCTGCCCATAGGTCCCCAGTTC